CACACACACACACACACAAGACGTGACCCAATCTCATGACCAATTTCTGCCCTAAGAGGAGAGAGGCTACCGTCACATAGAGCACAGACAGATCACCTAGAAGGAACAACAGTCAAAGACAGGAGTAGTACTGTTTACAGGAACGTTCCCGTTGCCCGCGACCGATAGTTGAGCTCGGACACCAATAAGCACGCAGAGGCACAGTCACGTGTCCATCGCAAGCCAATGAGAGCCATGCGTATAAGAACGACAGTAGAATTAATTTTGGGGTTACCTTTAGAGTAACGTGGTCTATATACAACAAAACACCACTGAGTTATTTAAGTTATTTTCTTTGTTATCTACAATGTTACACAGCAGAGGCAAGTAAAATGAAGTCCTAATGTGATTACAAGGCAATGGATATGTTTCTTTTACATGGATCGAACTATACGCTAACCTGTCTTGTTTTTTTGAAGCAGACTGAAGTGCGGCTTTGGGATGCGGCATGTTGCTGATGAGCTGTGAGCAGGGCTGAGCAATAAGCCCTATGTCCCGCTGTCAGCCGGGGTCGGGAAATCAATTACCGCTAATGTTACCCCGTTAGTGTCATCAGGGCTTAATCAGAGGGGGATTCCTCTTAATGACACGACACCTGCAGTCAATACAGGTGGGCAAACGGGCCGTCGACTCTGGGGGGAAAAGCCGTTATATTGGTCCGTAATCAGTATACACTTATAGCGGGCCGCTCCTTGTAAGCACTTAATAGATTGTGCTGAAAGCACTTGGGGAGAATCGGCCGGGGTGCCGTGTCACATGTGAGCCCTGCGGAGCCTCACTGGGACAGCGCCGGATCCATCCTTACCCCTTTGGCCGCTCCCTAATTAAACGACCAAATTCATCCATTATTTTGGTCCAAGTAAACGCAAAAACAGATGAAAATAAAACAAGTCACAGGCAAAATATACTCTGGCGTGATCACTGACCCAACTGCTGTGTTCGTTTTACTTAAATTTAATTATATGCTCTTTCATTCACTCAAAAATACATTAGTTATATTGCTGTTCTTGCTCCAATATAGTGGACATATCCCTTTTCCTTTTTTTCCAGAATTCTCTATACAATATCAGTGTCAAAAACATTTGCGACTTGTACAATTAGACTTCATCTTCGCATTTATGTACAAGGCGGTGGCCTGTGCTTCAGTGTAATGATATGATCTAACACCTGCTGGCCTCCTGACTGGCAGCTATCACCGCTGTACCCAGCTGCCGGTCTCCACCAACCCCACCTCCTACAACACAAACACATCCACACACGTGCAATTTCCGCCACACATTCCTCTACCAGAGCCAGTTCACAGCACTGAAAAAATGTGCTTGGCATTCTTGCATTGCTTTAATCATCTAAGTATTTTAAGTTTCCTCTAAACGCAAAAACAATGTGGGCTCTGTTCTCCGTCCTTAACAGCTTCTTTCAAACTGTACAGAACATACTTTGGCTTTAAATAACCAGATAAAACATCTTTACATCCCCTATATATCCTTGCATAAGAAGGATTCATAGCCACTCATTATCTCACACAGGAATGGATCAGTCACAATCTGCTCCGATGCTACATTTCTGTAAATACGGCAATTTCGGCGAAAGTCTTATTTTCTGCAGTCCATTCTTATATCTTCTCAGTATCAGAGCAGTTCGAAACAACAGTGAAACCTCATTTCCCACCCAGTCTGCGCTCTCACAACCCTCACAGCACGGCTAAACCCAGGAAAACTTGCTCACACAGCAAAATGTGCACCCCGTTCAAGAACCTGATAATGAAGGAAATTACTCCCCTCTACACAAGTATATTCACCGCTTTCTTAACCTCCTGAAAAGATCTTCCGCTCCTCTATCTGTAATCTTGCTCTGCATAGCACTTCCCTTTCCCTATCGCATCATATGAATTACTCTGTATACGACATACTTCACAGAAAACAATCACTACGCCACGCGACACACGATGAGGCCTTACTGCCATCTGGTGGCCATTATGGGAATTCACCTTCAAATTACCAAAGTCTGCATTAAGACATACTAAAGGGCCTATAAGACCGACATACGATACGAAGCAGGGTAATAGTCTACATATGCTTTCAAATGCCTTATAATTACCAAAAGGTTATAATTAAAAAAAACAACCCTAAAGGTTTATAAATCAATTTCTTCCAGGAAATTGTTACTCTAGTTCAGCAAAAAAGATGGCTAGTTTCGTTGCCCGTAGTGAGACCATCTGGAGAGGCCTTCCCAGTCTGACAGACACACACACACACGGACACAGACAAAGTGGGGAGGGCTTTTTCTTGCATGATTTCAGCCTGTCCCCTAATGACCTGTCATCTGTGCCTCCTAGGGGTCAGATGTCAGGGAATTTCTGGAGTGCGGGGGTGGTGGTGAACAGCCTGGCAGGAAATACACAAAATACTCCTAAGCAGCTCATCACTTCTCTACAGTCAAAGTACCAGTGGCATTAATTAGAAAACATGCGTCCATAGAGACGACATTTACAGAGGCCTGAGCCTTCAACGCTTCATTAATTATTAATATTCATTCATTTCTTTTAATTACTTATTTATTCTTGTTATCTTCACAAACGTTATATTCTCTATAAAGTCAGTGGCACAGACTCCTTGGTGCCGGCCGGTCTGGTCCCGGGGCCCGATCACAAAATCCTGGGCGCAGACCTGTCGTTTGAGATGGTCTTGCGGAGTCGGACCCCACGGCGGATCGAGACGAGCATGTCCTCTCCCTCCGAGGGCTGGGGGTCTTGCGTGGGCTCATCTGGCAGCGAGGGGAAGGGGAATTGGCCCTCTCCCAGGGCGTGGGCGCTGGCCACCAACTCGCCGATCTTCTCCACCAGGCTGTGGCGGTTGGCGGCGAGCAGCTGGTCCTCCTCGAGCTGCTGGGTGTAGACGCCCGTCTCCAGGCCCCCACCGGACCCCCACATCGTGTTGGGCAGGCTCATGCGCTTCGGCGACGCCCTGCTGAACTCGGGCGCTCCAGGCGAGGCCTCGTCCGTGTAGAAGACACACTCTTCACTGCCTGCCCACGCCGACGGTCCCGTGTGGCTTGGGGAGTCGGGCACCTTCGGCGTCTTCACTGGCACGATGGGCGGTCGGATGGGGATGGGGCCCGCGCTGGATAGGGTGCGTCTCACCCCGGGCTTGGTGGACGGGGTCCGCCGAATGGTGGCCGTCCCTGGGGTACCCAGACCACCTCCCCCGCCCCCTCCTCCGGGTGGCCCGGCCTGGGCCCCCATGCCGCTGGGCAGACCCGCGGTGCTGGCCGGCCTCTTGGTCTGGATCATGCGCCGGTAGTTCTGAGCGATGTTGCTGTGACGCGGAATGGTGGAGGACTTATCGAAGTCGGCCTGCACCTCCACTTCAGTGTCGCCGTTCACGGAGTAACATTCGTACTCGGACACTGGAGGAAAAGATTGACAGTCATTCCAGTCCTTATACCTTCTGCAATTGCTTACAGCCTCACACTGTCATTCTCCTGTTAACAATACTACTTCAGATTTGAGCTGGTGACCTATAACTGCTACGTCACCTGCTGGCCCTACTCTGACGCTGCAATGCAGCAGAGGAGTTGTAGACCTAATAGCTGCCCCAGGATATGGGTTCAGAAAGGGTCCATGCGATTGGGGCACTGGATTACAGTAGTGAGGGTGGGCTATGACAGATTTACCTCTAAGCCAAAGATCGCCAAGCCATATTTTAGAGAAAAAGAAACAGCTGTTTACTGCTGACAACTGACCAATAACTGCATCTTTAATTGCAAAAGGAACAGATTCACATTCATATGATCAAAAGACCACAGTAAGCAAAACACAAGATGAACAAGCAGAACAGGAACGTAACTGCAAGTTAAATGACTGAATTACACACAAAATGAATCTCTGTCATCATTCAGAAGAGAGCTGAAAGGTAGCACTGAGAGGGTTTAGTATCCGGCCAATATACAGCCTCAATGGTAACATTCATTTGGAGTTGCTTAAAAAAACGAATTTGCTTTAATGACTTAATTGTGCACTTTTCATAATTTTTATAGCTTGATTTAATTATATTTCCTAAGGGTGCAAGCTAGTGATGGTTGGTTGAAATGAGGTTTCAAAACCCACTGTCAGATTAGCATGAGCTGTCAATTACTGCCTGTTATACCACAGCGGTGTTGAATTCTCAAATCTGATTGGTCAAAAGGGTGTTGATTAATTTTGTATAACCGTCACGTCAGCTTTCAGAATCACAGTAATAAATCAAGACATGATTATAATCTTTAATTCTAACTAAAGTTACTTAAAATTCCAGATGCAGAACACAATTTAAAATTTAGCAACAGGCGATTTCAGCTAACGACTGGCTTACAGTCTTAGCAGCGGGCAAATGTCAAATTAACAACGGCAGCTTGGGTCACATCTAAGCAAAATGTTTTATCATTAGTGGAAGAAAGTAGTTCTACTGATAAATGAGTTTCTGCCTTGTAGATGTGAAAAGAAAGTCTTTAGGTAAAAACGTGTAAAGCCAAATGTGTAGCATCCGTAGTATAAGTGCGTTAATGCACTCCAAGCTATGAATTAATATTTTAATATTTAAAAATTTTGCTTTGAGCCTTACGTAACCAATGAGAGCTCAGAGAATAACCAATAGGAAGATGCTGACTGAGCCTTACATAACCAATGAGAGCTCAGAGAATAACCAGTAGGAAGATGCTGACTGAGCCTTACGTAACCAATGAGAGCTTAGAGAATAACCAATAGGAAGATGCTGACTGAGCCTTAAGTAACCAATGAGAGCTCAGAGAATAACCAATAGGAAGATGCTGACGGCACAGAGCAAGCCCACCCACTGTGTGGTTTCAAAGGCTCGCTTGGAGTCGGGCTACCGTGTGAAGGGATGGCGTCTTCCGAGCAGGAGGGCGTGGGGGTCTGCGTGCTGTATCCGCTGGAGAACTGCAGCGAGTCGTGGCTGCTCGTCTGCTGCTCCACGCCCAGGCCTCTCGTCAGCAGCATAGCAAGATCGCCGGCGGCGGGGGGGCCCTCCTCCCCGTGCTGGGGGGGCACACGGCGTTAGCGTGACAGTGATAGCTGAACATCACTCAGACTCAGCCATGCTAGGGTCTGTCCCTCAGGGGGTCCCCCCCCCAGGGAGGTTGCCACTTTTCAAATCTGTATTTAATCAGCAAATTTTATAACAGGGACCCCCAATGATAAAATGAGCCGAGCTGGGAGGGGGTACAAAATGTGTACAAAATCACTAAATTGATTTAGAATTTTGAAAAATCATTTTTCAGGGAGGGCTAAGACAAAAGGGAACATTGTGTGGTCTGGGTATTTCTCAGCTAGGTCCTAATCTCAGGACCAGTATATGTCCTTAATCATCATGCTATCTGCACCTGAACAAATGTTGCACTTCATTATGTGTTTTTTTTAAATACTTGGAGCCTGGGAACTGTCTAAACATCCATTAGTTTCACACCATCTCACCAATCTTTAAATAGCAGCACCTGAGTGAAATAGCACAGCTGGACATCTGAATATGAAAAGGCCTTTTTAAAGACAGACTTTGTGTCCTTGAAAACACTGTTGGCTGTATTAAGGCAAGTAATATAGTACGAAATGCAAAGGCTCTTGCTAGAGAACCGCAGCAGTTACCTTGGCAGCAATTGTGGCTGGAGACATTCTAGGCCTCTGGGAATCTTCTGGATGTATCCCAGTGTACGGCTGGGGAGCAGGACAGGCTTCCGGCTCTCTTAGGCGCTCTGGCGGGTCCTTTCTGCGCTGTAGCGTATTGACCAATGGCTGTTCATAGGGAACTGGTTTGGACCAGTCCTAAAGAATTGGGCAGAGTTATTGAGATTCAGAGAAAACAATGCAATTGATGAAGGGAGTGCAGTGGAGTTTTTGAAGGATTTGTCACATTTGTGTCTGAGGCCTCCTATTGGTTGAATTCGGTATTCGTGTTCTGTCTGCTAAGAATCGTTATACCTATTGACTGCTCAGGTTAGCAATTTCTCCCTGGGAGATTTCAGATGACAGAGGCAGGGCATGAAGGCTTGCTGGCAAACAACACAGACGGAACACAACTCAAGCAATAAAGTGACAAACAAGTTAATGAGGAGATTATTAAATAAATAAAAAAACACATATTATTTGAAGGACTGCAAATCAAACACAAAGTGAAGCAAGCAAACAAAGAATTGAAAGAAATCAAAAGAAACGAACAAACCTTCCAACAAGGAACCTTTGATGTGGGAGATGAATTATTGGATCCAGGGGAGCAATTATAGGGTAGGGATGCAGACAGTATGAGAGGTAGAGGCTTGTTGGAACCATTGTGAGAGAGAGCAGGGCGGAAGGTAGAGAAGGTCAAGCCAAACTGCAGAATGGAGAAACATGACGGTCAAGGTGAGCAGGACTAAGACCCCAGCAGGGTGAGCAAGGCCTCAGGCCGACTGGCCATGGGGTTCCACCTCTGAGGAGGCAAAGCAGATGACGGGGTTTCAGTGGCCCTCAGCTCTCTATCTGACCTGAGGCCACAGCCACGAGCGGCCAAGAACCTGCATGATGCATCCGGCACCAACAGCAGAACTTCAGCTCCACTGCTGCGTTAAACTCTTGCCTTTTCACTTGATATATTAAATGTTTATCCTGCTAAAGGCATTTGTACTTAAAAACACTTTTAATAGGACCTTGAAATGATTTTTACCTTATCTGGATTTAGGTCAGAGGGATTCGAGACGAAGAGCTTGCTGGAAAACTATTCCTAGAACTTGTGAAGAACGCACAAAGTACTTTGCCCTTCTAAGAACTGTTGATAAATATTATGCGCATCCGACCAAAGGCTTTCCACTGGTTTATCTTCTTCAGAAAATGACCTTCAAATGCCTTGGTTAGATTTTCATTTGCTCTTAAATGGATTTAATAATCTACTTCATTTCCTCTATACAACATAGAGTTGCTATTTAGAGATAGATTCCCACAACTCTGGCATTGCCAAGTAAACAAGAGGAGACAGGCATTGGTTAGAAATATCGCTTCCAGGTGAATGACAGAAAAGCGTCTGAATGGTATGGCTGGTATCAGAATGAGTGTTAATGTACCGTGGAGAGAGGCTATGAATGAGCAGGGGATGGAGGTCGTGTTTCCATGGAATTTCACACAAGTAAATGGCAAATGTAAGGATGTTGTACTGTGCACAGTCCGTGTCTGTGCTTAGTTTAAGGAAGCCCAGTGTAAAAAGCAAGTAAAAGCGTCGTCAGAACAAAAGACACTAGCAGAAAAAAGCTGTATGATATTGTGGCCACAATCCATGAACTCATGGCTGTGTTTGTGTTGTGGTGAGGGTGAGCTAAGCAAGGTGAAGAGGTGTGTGTGTGTGTGTGTGTGTGTGTGTGCGTGTGCGCGCGAGCGGGTTTACCTATACTTATGGGGACATAATGTCCCCATAACGTGATAAATATCCATTTTTTTCCTTATGGGGGCCAATTTCCTGGTCCCCATAAGGGAAAACTCTATTTTATAAAAATCGGTGACTGCTATGAAAAAACTAAAAATGCAAAAACTCTTGTATTTTGCTAGGTTATTTATGGTTAGGGCAGGGTAGAGGTTAAGGTTGTTATAGTTAGCGTTAGCATTTTTCCCATTGAAATGAATGAGCGGTCCCCATAAGGATATGTTTACCCTACATGTGTGCGTGCGTGTATGTGTGTGCGTATGTTTACCCTGCGTGTGTGTGTGTGTGTGTCTGTGTGTGTGTGTGTGCATCTGCTCATGTGTAGTCATGTATATATTATATCATGACATTGTGGGGACTATTTTTTCAGTCTCTACAAGGGGAAAATCAATAAAAAAAAATGTGACTGCAATCAAAAATAAAAAAGTCTTGTATTTTGTTTGGTTACTTATGGTTAAGGTTAGGGCTGGGTGGGGGATAAGGTCGTCATTGTTGAGTTTTGCCCATAGAAATAAATGGGCTGTCCCCACAAAGATATGAGTCTGTGTGTGTGGGCGTGTGTGTGTTTCCAGGGTGAACTAACCGTGGTAGGCGAGCTGCACTCACTGACCGACTGGCAGGTTTCCGAAGCTTCAGAAGAGGCCGAGCTGGAGGACTTCTGACGAGAAGAGACAGCGAGGGTTAGGGTTAGGGTTAGGGTTAGGGAGATCTCACACATCACCTGTGGAACTGCAGCCTTATCACGGCAGCTGTGGAGGCTTCCCCCACAACCAGAGCACGTCCTAATCTCTATCCCACTGTGCACGTCTCTTTCAAAAAACACAATATTCCAGCTTAATGCCAGTGCTCCCAGTCTTCACACACCCTGTAACCATGGTAACTGTTTGTTCACTGTACAGCAGCGGCAGGTTTCTGCGCCACTTACCTGGCTGGTGATGTCAGAGGGCATAGGCGACGGCGGTTTCGAGTAGATGTTGGCATCCTGTGATACGAAGCCCGAGTCATGGGAGGAGACACTGCTGAGGCGCTGGGCCCCCCCTCGCGGTGGCTGGGCCAGGCTGCGGTAGCGATAGGACGAACTGGGAGAGTGAGTCTGTGAGCCGCTGGAGGAGCGGGAAGCACTACTGTGGGCGCTGTTTACGCTGCTGTGGGGGGGGGGGGGGGGGGACGGGGGACAAGAGACAAGGGACGGGGAAATCAGCGATTGGAGGGGGTTAGAAAGTTGCAACAGATAGGCAGGAGATGGACAAGAGGAGAAATGAATTATGGGAAAAAAATGTGTGTAGAGCAATGTAAGTGAAAAGGGGGAGGGGTTTTAATTGTGATAAAAATTTAGGAAGGAGAAAAGAAATGCAAGAAATGATGCAAGTGTGAGTGACAGAAAGCCACAAAGAGTTAGATGCCGTCCATACATGGGACAAATGAAGAATACAGCGAAGCATTGTGGGAAAATGGGTTAGGTGAGGGGCAAGGAGGAGGAGGAGAGCGAACAGGAGAGACAATGAGAGAGACAGAGTGACACCACGGGACAAGGAGCTGGCACAAAGTTAGTCACTGCAAAATCCACACAGCAGCTAACAGTCACTTGGCTTCAACACGAGACCAACGAGGATGTGAAAGCTTTAATGGGCACTGGGTGACAGAAATCAGTACAGAGACCTTCACAGTGAGGTCAAGCAGTCAAGCACAAAACATGAACAGTGGTAAGAGGGTTCTGCTTTGAAACACGTATCTGGGAGCCATTTCTCAGGGAAATACATATAACAAGCAAAATTTAAAAAATTTTCAATCTTCAACAAACCTAAAAATGTCTTTGTTGCAGTAATTTCATATTATGAGCTAAGTAAATCAAAAACGTAGTAACACAGCATTATAAATACATGGCTGTGAAGTATTACTCTCGCAGCCCCGTGACCCCCCACCCCCCACCCCCAGCCTTCTAACCTGCACATGCTGCTCTTCCTGGAGCCGGAGCTGCTGGGGGACGAGGGGGGGGTTTGGTAAGACCAGCTGTAGTCGGACCCCTTCAGGTCGTTAATCACCTGCGACAGGGTGGCCAGTCAGAGAAGGTGCATCTTTGTTTTCCTGATGTCAGTCATACACAAGTTCGCAATGACGATGCTTTAATTTTGCTACAGTTTATTAGGATCAAGTTTCAGTTACCTGCTCGCTAGCGGGGGGCAGTTTATGGGGGTCGGTGGTCAGCACCACAAGGTCATCGATAATGCCCTGGAGGTGAGTGATTTCCCCCAGCATGGCGATCTCTCCATTCTAAGAAAAAGACCGTAAGGGGCGACTTAGAGGCTGTGGTAAGTAGGGTTCTGCTAATCCGCTAACCACTAACTAGCCAATCCAACCTTTTCCATTAGCGGATTAGCGTTTCTGCTAATTTTGAAAACTGTTAGTGCACCAATTAGCTTACACTCAATTTGGCTCCGCTAGCTGTAAAGTGAATAAAGTTTAACAAGTAAAAAACTTTGTAAACCCTAAAATCACACATATTTATTCCTGTCTGTTATAAGCGTGTCTTCAGCGGTCTATCTGGCATGCTATGGATGACTACGTGTAAACACAAGATGTGATTGGTCAATAACATGTCAGATTTAAGGTAGTCTGAGCTAAATGAAAGTTAACAAAGATAAAGTTAATTAAAACTGGGGTACTGTGAATTAATCAGAAAACAGAGGCCTGTTTCACAAAGCTGGATTTCTTACTTAGCCAGATAATTTGTCGGATTTAAGGTACCCTCATTTAAACTGACTTTATCTTCATTTACCGTACATTTAGCCTGCTTAAATCTGACAGGTTATCCAGCTAAACAGCTATGCCCCCAGTAGTATTTTCTGGGTTCTGATTGACAGAGCTACAGACCATAACACCCAGCAGTCTCCCAAACACACCCCCTCCAAAACAACCAACAGTCTTCAGGCTCCACCCCTACCGTAACACCCAGCAGTCTACAGGTCCCACCCCCTCCAAAACAACCAATAGTCTTCAGGCCCCACCCCTACCGTAACACCCAGCAGTCTACAGGTCCCACCCCCTCCAAAACAACCAACAGTCTTCAGGCCCCACCCCTACCGTAACACCCAGCAGTCTACAGGTCCCACCCCCTCCTTCACACTGAACAATCGATCAGCTGCTTTTCCTCTATCCACCCTGGCCCCACTCTCACCACTACAGGCTGCAGGAAGCTGATGAAGGTGCAGAAGCGCCCCCTCTCCTCCACCAGCGCCCGGCGCACAGCCTGCTTCTCTATCTCCTCCATCAGCAGGCACATGTCAGTCACGTCCTGCATGGCGCTGTCCAGCTGGGGCTGCAGGTCTCCTCTACCTGTGGAGCAGCCAAGCGGAGGGAGGGAGGGAGGGAGAGAAGCAGGAGGGGGCATAGAGGGTAAAAAGGAAGGGTGTGGGCGGGACGGAGGGCGAACAGAGCAAGAGCACACAGGGCCCCCCCGGCCCCCCGGCCCCCCCGGCCCGGAGGCAAGCAGAGGCCAGAAGATGAGAAGGTGCAGGAGGAGGAGTGGATGGAGGAAGTGAAGCAGGTGTAGAGTAGTGGGAGCAGCATGGGGGAGATGGAAGTATGAGTGAAAGGTGGAGGAACAGGTCAAAGGAGAGAAACCAATAAAGCGTCACACAAGGGAGGAGAAAGGAGGAGAGACGTGATTACACCCCAATGGGGAAGATATTCACAAAATGAGATGATGTGATGAATGATGTTTACCATCAGTGATCTTCATAAGGGCAGATGACAGTTAAATGAACTTGACGGGACATTTTGGGGTGTGTGTGTGTGTGTGTGTGTGTGTGTGTGTGTACAGTATATATACATACACACAGTGAGGAACATAAGTATTTGAACACCCTGCGAGGCTTCTGTACCAAATATTATCACTGATTTTCTCAGGTGTTCAAAGACTTATGTGCAGCAGTGCAATACAAATAATTAAAAAAAATAAATCATACAATGTGATTTCCTGATTTTTTTTTTTAAATGCTGTCTCTCACAGTGGGAATGCACCTACAATGTGGATTTCAGACCCCTCCATGATTTCTAAGTGGGAGAACTTGCAAAATCACAGGGTGTTCAAATACTTATGTTCCTCACTGTATATATATATAAAATATTATCATGGTCACACAGTGCAGCATTGCCACCCCCCAAGCAGAAGACAGAACCTATACTAGGGAAAACAAGACGGAGACTACATCAACCCATAATGACCCCTACGCTACTGTAGAAATCACATGCAAACAAACGTTAAGGTGGTGATACAAACAGCAACTTTTTGAGCAGTGTTGCTGGGCAACTGCCAACCAGATGACACAGAGGGCAACTCCTCCCGATCCGGGTGATCACAAAACATTGCCCACTGCCAATCAAAGTTTTTCCAAATGGGAATTTGTTGCCCAATACCGATGGGAAAGTGCCCAAGGAACACTGCTCAGAAAGTTACTGACTATTTGTAAAGCAGTTCTAAACTGAAATGTCCTCTGTTATTTACCAGTAATAAATTTAATTGATAGCTGGACCTGGGGGCGGCATGGTGGTGCAGTGGTTAGCACTGTTGCCTCTCACCTCTGGGACCTGGGTTTGAGTCTCCGCCTGGGTCACATGTGTGCGGAGTTTGCATGTTCTCCCCGTGTCATCGTGGGGTTTCCTCCAGGTACTCCGGCTTCCCCCCCAGAGTCCAAAGACATGCTGAGGCTAATTGGAGTTACTAAATTGCCCGTAGGTGTGCATGTGTGCGTGACTGGTGTGTGAGTGTGCCCTGCGATGGGCTGACCCTCCCCATCCTAGGTTGTTCCCTCCCTTGTGCCCATAGCTTCCGGGATAGGCTCTGGACCCCCCGCAACCCAGAAGGATAAGCAAGTTGGAAGATGGATGGATGGATGGATACCTGGACCCACTCATTAATCTGTATGCTTTTCTACTATAGCGGTAATTACAATAAATCAGGGACAAACAATAATTTATCAATTAGTCATGAGATTATCATTATTATTTCAAACAACTGTAGAATAGATGGTATTTGTCATGTAACTAAGTGAACTGAAACTTGGTGTATTATTGATACCTAGTGCCATTCTGAGAAATGTAGTCCATTTAATCACCTATATTTTGCTTCCCAGATCTCTAAATGTAGGACAGGAATCTCTGGGCTTCTTTTAACCGCCATTCAGACCTTACATTCTGTTCATTTCTATCACGAATCACATGAGCAGCATGTGACCAGTGGCTATTCCTGCACCACAGGGAGACACATTTATACAAGGCTTGATTTGGGTGGTGACATGCACAGCCATGGAGGAAACAAATGACAGCATAGCATAGCATAGCATAGCATAGCATAATGAAGCATAGCATAGCATAGCATAGCATAGCATAATGAAGCATAGCATAGCATAGCATAGCAT